AAAAAAAAAAAAAAAAAAAAAAAAAAAATTATATATTTTTTATTAAAGAATAATATAAAAAAGTGTTTTTTTTTTTTTTTTTTTTGTTAAATTTTTTACACAGTTATGGTAAATTAAAGTATATAATATTAATGTTTTTATGTGCTATTTGTGGTAATTTATTAACTTGTGCAACTGCAAAATGCAATGATGTAATAGACATTTAATAAAAAAACAATATTAATGTATCTATATTTCTGGAGTATATATATATATTTTTAATTGTTTTCATTTTATTCTATTCATTTTAGATACAAATGGGAATTAGCCCAATTTTATCAGGTTTCATTGGAGTTTTTTTACAAGAGATTATAATGCATTATAATGATGTTAAAGACAAATTAAGTGTTATAGGAAATTTTATGTAATTAAAAAAAAAAAAAAAAAAAAAATTATACAATTATGCCATCATAAATATATTTCTATTTTTAATATCATAGATTTGCATTTTTATCATTATATTTAATGATATCAATATTTCCTTATAATGGTAACCTAAATTAATTCAATTTCATTTTCTCTCGAAATACATAACTTTTTCTTTTTTTTTTTATAATAATATTCATTTATGGTGTTTATCTTTATACAATGTATTTATTTTTTTTTTTTTTTTTCAATTAGGAAATATATTTGGAAACACTGGAGGGTTATTTGTTGGTATAAGTTACCCCTTTATATTTAAAAGCGATTCTTTTAACAAGTAAGAAAAAAAAATATGATAAAAAAAAAAAAATAAAAAATAAGTGAAATATAATTTTTTTTTCTAATAAATAAACTAAAATTTGATCTTTTTTTAATTTTTATAAATTACAGTACAGATAAAAAGCTAAAAATAACATTTATTATTTTAATTATTTTATTAATAAGTGCTACTTTAAGTAGTATTATAATTTTTAAGTGTTAAAAAAATAGAAGAAAATTTGTTTTTTTTTTTTTCTTATCTTTGATATAATTTTTAAAGGAAACAGGAAACTTTACACCCCTTTTTTTTTTATTTTATTTTATTTTTTTTTTTTTTTTTTTTTGGAACTACTAATATGAACTACATATCATTCAATGTTAATCATTTAAAAAAAAATATATATATAAATAATGAATGAAATATTATGAATAAAACAAAATATTAAAATTCCAAAAAAAAAAAAAAAAAAAAAAAAAAAAAAAAAAAATGGACATAAAAATGTGCTAATATGCTACATATTCCATTATTGGTATTTATGGAAAAAAAAAAAAAAAAAAAAGTAATAATAAATATTTTAATAGAATTAATTAATCATATTAAATGCCTTATGGGTATTTTCTCTAACATGTTGAATAGATTTATCATACAATTCTTGTTCTTCTTTAGTTAAAGGAAATTCAACTGGAAAAGCACCTTTACTATTAATGGTAGCAGTTGTACCAACAAATAAATTATCACAGTTATAAATTCCTTTTAAATAAACAGCACATGTAAATAATTGATTTTGGTTAAATAAATAAGACTTTATCATTTTTACAATTGCAGCAGCTGGAGCAAAACAAGCTGAAGCTTTAGCTAGTTTAATAATTTCTGCACCACCATCTCTAGTTTTTTCAACAATCTCATTTATATCCTTTTGGCTTATAAAATTTTGATTAACAAAATCAGTTAAAGGAATACCAGATACAGAACAATATCTTACAAGAGGAACCATTAAATCACCATGTCCTCCTAAAATTATTGCATTAACATTTTCTGATGATACATTTAATTTTTCTGCTATTAATGTTCTAAATCTAGATGTATCTAAAATTCCAGCCATACCACATATCTTTTCATGTGGCAAATTGCTATATTTATGAAATACATTTACCATAATATCTAATGGATTACTAACACATATAACAAAAGCATTTGGACTGTATAGTTTAACTGATTCTGCTACACTTTTCATTATCTTTCCATTTATTCCAATTAAATCTTCTCTTGTCATTCCTTCCTTTCTTTGCATGCCTGCTGTTATTACAATAATATCTGAATCTTTTATATCTTCAATATTATTTGTACCTAGTATTTTCCTATTTACTCCTAATATTGTACTAAAATGTTTTAAATCTAAACATTTTCCCTGAGGTGTTCCTACTGCTATATCATACAAAACTATATCTCCCAAATTTTCTATTAAACATAGTTCTCCTACTAATGCTCCTATTTGACCACTTCCTATTAATGATATCTTAGTCATTTTTTAGAACAAAAAAAAATAAGTTTTAAAAAAAAGATATATTTAATATGGAGAAAAAAAAAATAAATATTATAAAATATATAACAAAATATTATTATATCTATAAAATAATATTTCAATAATAAAATTATATAAAAAAAATTAATAATAAAATTAATAATAAAATTAATAATAAAATTATATATATAAAAAAAAAAAAAAGAAAAAAATATAAAAATTAAATTTTAAGAAATAAGAATTTGGAAATATACGAGAGTTGCATTAAATTAATTTGTTTTTATTAATATTCATTTATTTTATTTATTTTAATACAATAAGAATTATAATAAAATTTATTTTTTTTTTTTTTTTATATTCATTTTAATATTTCAATTCATATAAAAAGTGGAAGAAAACTTCATTTTTTTTTTATTCATGTTCAAATTTTTGCATTTTTTAAATTACCCGACAGAAACTGTATAGTTAGAGCATTCAAAAAAAAAGTATGCGTAATATTTTTTATAAACTTCTTTATGCTCAATTAATAATACAAGAAAAAATAAAAAGAGAAATAGTGTAAATTTTTTTTCTATTTTTTTCTAATCAAAAAAAAAAAATAAAAAATAAAAAAAAAGTATATATTTTATTAGTTATTCATAGAAGAAAAAAAGAAATAATAATAAATGAAATAAATTATTCTTATTACATTAACATTATGCAAGTTTTATTTTTAAAATGATTATTTATATAAAAGTAATTTTATCTATTTTGAAAAAGATACAATGAAAAAAATTGAAGAAACTCACATTTTTTCCAAGATTTATTTTCCTAAAACTAAAAGTTTACATAAAAACAATTATCTAATCAAAAAAAAAAAAATGATGGAAATTATTATATAATTATTGTTTTAAAAAAAAAAAAAAAAAGAAAAGAAAAGAAAATACTTATTCTTTTAGAATGAAAATAAAAAATACAGAATTATATGATTATATATAAATAAGTATATTATATTTTCATAAAAAAAATGTACTCTCTCATATCTCTATTAAAAAATAAAGAAATGCGAATTCTATAAAATTCCACATGAATCTTATTTTACATAAAAATTTAAAAAATTTGATATTTTCATTTTTCATCTTTATAAAAGTGAAATAAATATTAATATTTTAAAAATATTGGGTTTTCTAAAAATGTTAATTTTTTAAAAATTGAATTTTTAATTTATAATATAAAATATTTTTTTGCTTTTATAAGCATTTAAAAGAATAGGAAACTTGTAATTTTTATTTCTCTTCCAGAATATATAAAATATGCTAAAAATTTGCAAAAAATAAATTTAAATTTATATTTTTTTATATTTAAAGTTTTATATACAACAAATTATATTTCAATATTTATACAAATTATTTATAGTTTAAGTAAAATGTAACATTACAGTTGTCAATTTAAAAATATGCATTTTAAGTTGTTATAATTGTTACTAATTATGTAAAGGTTTCACATATATAAATAAATATATTGCATATTTTTATAAAAATAAAACTAAATAAAATAAATATAATTTTCCATTTTAATCAGCCATGATAAAAAAGAAAAAAAAAAAAAAAAAAAATACTCTTCAATTAATCGTTTTTTCTCTCCTTTACTTGAAAACTAAATTTATTGTAAATTTATAATATAATAAAGTTATCTGAAAAAAAAATATTATAAAAAAAAACCTGTTTGTCTTTTTTATTTACTATTTGTAATGATATATATATATATATATATAAATACATATATATATATATATAAAAAAAAAAAAAAAAAAAAAAAAAAAAAAAAAAAAAAAA